TATCTATATTTCACAGTTAAAATATCAGCCAGTGTTGTCACCATTAAAAGTCAAAATTTCACCTACGCTCCACTTTTCTTCATCGATCAACGTCACGCCTTCTCCATTTCTTTCTTTTATTTATTTTTAAAAAATGCCAACCCGAGCCATCACTGTCAGTTTAAGGTGTCCAAATTTCACTAACACTCCTCTTCTCTGGAGCAATCAGTATCACAGTGATTTTTTTCCTTTTTTTTTAATCTCTCTCTCTCTCTCTGTCTGTTTTCAAAATTTGTGCAGTCTGTAAGATTACGAGTGATGAAAAGTGATGAGAAAAAAGCAGCTCCTTATTTATCTGACATAATGTCTGCAGAAAGTGGAGCTTATATTAGAATGCTAATAAAAGCACTTTTTGGTGTTTTGGTAAAAGATATATTTTATTAAAGTAGCGCTATCTATATGATAGATAGAATGTTATGGTTTCAATAACTCCTGTTGCAGATCAGCATACTGAATAGGGCTAATGTGATGCTAGCACAGGTTTCGCATCATGTGTAGGAAGATGAAAAAGAGAATTATGAAAGAATTTGTACATTCAAAATGACTAATTGTTAGTAAAAGTTGCTAAGCATTGGATCTCACTAGTTTCTTAATGTATTATGCTTTTGTTTGTATCTATACTTATACATCCCCTCTGAAAGTATTGGAACAGCAAGGTCAGTTTTTTGTCTTTGCTATACACTGTCTTGGTTTGATCCCTGGGTTTCACCTGTGAAAACTGCATTTGTTGTTAAAAAGGATAAACCAACATGAAGACCAGAGAGCTGCCTATGGGAGAAAAGCAAGCCATTTTGAAGCTGAGAAAAGAGCCATTGCACAAGCACTGGGCATAGCCAATACAACCATTTGGAATTTCCTGAAAAATAGAGGCCATACCACAAGACGCAAACCACTCATCAAAGAAAAAAAAAAAAGAAAATGAAAAATAAATGAAAGCCGAAATTCTGATCTATCGTCTCATATTCATCTTTTGATCTCAAACCCAGATGCCTTCAGTGTATAACAAAAACAACAGAATTAGCCTTGCTGTTCCGATACTTTCAGACTGGACTATATATATTCATGTTTTTTTCTGACTTTCTGGGATGTCTATTCTATTTTACACGTATATAATGAAGTTTCTGATGGAAGCAGATGGCTATAAAAAGGAATTCTGTCTGAACTTGACATGTTCTCCAAGTCGCCGTTTCTTTCTTTTTGTCACTGAAGATAAGCATCAAGTGTGTAAGTGCTGCTCCTCAGAGATAACTTTTTTCAACTATGGATGGTTTCTACAGCACAGACCCTGATCCCTGTGTGTGTGTGTGTGTGTGTGTGTGTGTGTCTTATCTGACAGCTCGCCACTCTGGGGTCCCGGGGGGAACTTAAAAAAAAAAAAAAAAACAATTTCAGTGACCAGTGAAGAAGAGAGAAGAACGAGTTGTCATCGGACTGCTGCGATGGAAAAGGCTGGTTGATTGTGTGTGTGTGTGTGTGTGTGTGTGTTTAGCTTATGGAGATGTTCATCTAACACTCATCATCTTCATTTCTGGCAGTGATCAAAAAATAGAAGTCAAAATATTTACATAGGATTTCTCAAATAATATAAAGATGCATAATTAAATTATTTAAACTGCTCTTTCCACCATGTTGGTTCACTGTGTGGGCGTGGCTAAGGACCCATCACTCCAAATTTCTAACCAATAGACACTTAATATGCATGCCTTCTTTTAAGCTCTGCCCACCATGAAAAACTTCCAGAATTGAAAATAAATCAAGTTAATTTCATAGAAGGTAAAAGGTACCATATGTTAATAAAATAAAATAATTTAGTTTGACTCAATTTTTCTCCCTTTTTTTAAAACAAATTTTTTAGGGTTTTTTTTTTTTTTTTTAGATTTTTGGCAAAAAAAATGAACATTTTAAATGATTGAATGCTAAATCATATGATCAAATAAAAACATTTAATATACATTTAATATTTACACCTTTTTCCAAGACACATCCACCATAAAAAATGTAATAGAGAAGAAATATACAGAATTTGAAGTAAGTAATTTTATTAATTGCTGAGAAGATAGAGAATACTGTATATTATGAAAACAATATTGAAACTCTGTTTAATTATTTGCAGCCTATATTTTTTAGACTCATGGCACAAAATGAACTCAGTATAATTCTCTCAGTTTTAAATGATAGAATTTTAAGTAATGTAAATAAAAGCATGTAAAAAGACATTGGTGTGTAATTGAAATAAATAAGTGATTTATAAATATGGATTATAATGTCAGGTTTAAATCATTTATCAGGCTTCTTCTTCTTCTTCTTCTTCTTCTAAATCGCATTACCTCATTGCCAGTTATTTGATTAGAATCTGATCAGTCTAGGTTCACTGGTTCATTAGTGAGTTTCCTTATACGCACATTTGCACAAACTCAGGAGGGAAACATAGGTTATGAACATTTTTCCCGAATAACTGGATTTTTGCTCCTGTAAGCAATTTACTAATAAATTTGTTCATATCCAGTGTGATAAATGAGGTGCACTGTGTGTGTATAAATGAAAAAACACACTTTATGCAAACAACAGATGTTGCAACATTCAGTAGTGACACCTACGTTCTTACACCTCAGTCAGGGTTGAGGATGATAACGGAATAGACGTGACTGAATAAAAGTGGATGGAAAAAAGGATGATGGCAAGGCTAAAATAACAAACATAACCCCACTATAAGTGCGTATACAGAGCTACCTAACCTACCCAGTAAAAAAAAAAAAAAAAAAAAAAAAAAAAAAAAAAAAAAAAAAAAAAAAAAAAAAAAAAAAAAAAAAAAAAAAAAAAAAAAGGTTAGGTTGTGGGACAACCAAAACCCACACCCTAAACAAATGCAGCCAAGCCCTACACCCAGAGACTTGGAATGTATACAAAATGTTAACAAAGATGACACTGTTTACACCAGACAAGCAAAACGAGAGGGGGAAAAGCTAATCTCAGAAATCTAAAGCAAGCAATGGTTCATACAGTGAAGTCAATCAAAATCAAAACACAACACAAAAAAGATTCACAACCGGATACAAACACTAGGCTGCTGACGTTCCCTCAGGTGGCGCTCTTTATATACGATCAGGTCGATGACGTAACCAGACCCTGGAAGTAACGTGGCAGCACCAGGACAGAGGACAGAACAGATAAACACAGAAAAGAGACAGAGCATAACAAAGCACATGAGGGTTTTTTTTTGTCTTTTTGTAATTTGTACCACATCGGACTATAATCCACACAGCACCTGCCCTAATTAACCAGACACGACCAGGAGACGTTCTCCCGTGACATATGCAGCGCTGTCTATCTTCTAAAAATTATTCTGCTTCTCTTTGTACAGAGACAAGCTTTAATTATCTCATCTCAATGTCTACACAACTATTAGTCTTCAGTGTGATTAGTCGGGTCAGCCACCCGAGCTGTCAGCTTCGTTTTAGAGACGAGCAGAAGCACTAACATCTCCAGAACCCACTTGCTTGCTTCTTCTTTTTTATTTGTCAGGTCAATTACACACTGACCGCTATTATCCAAAACCCTGGAGGCACTGAGTTGTGCTGACTCAAAAAAAAACATCAGCTGGAAATTGTTAACAGTGTCAAGGCCTGAGTTTACAGTTTTCAAATGCAATTTCCTTTTCATTGTCTCAAAGCAGATGTACAAAAATTCAAGTCATGACCCTGAATTTCTGGCCACGGTGGCAAATTGAAACTCCTTAAGAACTTTAGGAACCGAGACTCGAAAATAAGAACCGGTCAGCAGATAGGAGGATTACAAATGAGATAAACGGAGCTCAAAACTGGAGTGAAGATTCCTGAGATACATAGAACAAGGAGCACAAGGAGAACATGGAAGGTGATAAATGAGCTGTAAAATATTTGAATTTCACACAGAGATTGGCAGCCAACAAATCAGAATGTGGAATTATCTAGAGCTTGTTTCTTCAGACTGGAACCTGAAGCGTTTTACATTCATCTACATTTCAAACGCCAATCCAAATAAGTTGGGCTGTTAATATGTCCACACCGTCTGCGTTTTTCTGGTCCACCCCGAGTCCACAGAACAGGGGTCTAAAAGCGGAAAGCTCTGTTTTTAGTCCTGTGGTGGAGATGCTGGATGGTCTCAGGAATGGAGGTCTGAGGGCTGTGGGAAGCTAAATTTTGTCACAGACTGTTGATGGATTATTTGGGGAGAGTGCTGAGCAGAGAACTGAGGTGGTAGTTGGAGATTTTGCAGAATTGAGTTGATATGGTGGTTGAACTTCAATTCTGGATACAAAATAATGTCTAGATTTGTAAGAATATTGCACATATTGAGAATTATTGAATGTGGACCAAAATGCTTCTGGTCCATCATTCTTTGAAGCATGGTGATGGTAGTTTGTATTTAAATTTCCCATGAAATGTCTTGAGAGCAGAGATTTGATTCTGTATGTTGGTGTATTTCCTTTTGAACCAGGAAGTCAGACTGATGGTGTGTTGAAGGTCTTGGCTTGTTTACACACCAATAATGTTCCAGATACGCCACACCCACGCCCAATCTAAACAAACTTGACAGTAGCTTAGCAAACTAGTGTCAGCTGTGTGGATGGTGACGGAGAGCCACAGGGTCGTCACCACAAGACATCTGATGAGTCTGAGTGGGAGATAAAATGATATTACTGACTCTTATTGATGGAGACAGTGTATAAAGATGGACTTCTCCATCAGTCTGAGGGAGTGATATCCTGTCATATCAGTGTTAATAACTCTAAAGGACAGAGACAAAAAGCTCTGAAGCACCAATTTTGATTTCTGGGGCACTTTGAGGAAGTAAATTTACACACAATGAATGCAGAACTGCTTAGATTTTCTTTTAAATACATTTTCCATAATTGTTGTTCATTATAGTTATTGTTTTCCACCAAAATGATTAACAATAGGTACTGAATGGCTGCTTGTGGGTCCCTGGAGGACTAGTGGTTCGGCCACAGTGCTCTCACCACTTCGGCCCAGGTTCGATTCCCAGCCAGGGAACCAACCCCAGCGCTCTCAGTGCCGGTCCCGAGCCCGGATAAAACTGGGAAGGGTTGCGTCAGGAAGGACATCCAGCGTAAAAACTGTGCCAAATCAAATACGCGGATCAGTGATGGTGGTGGCAACCCCTAACGGGAACAGCCGAAAGAGGAACAACAACTGAATGGCTGCTTGATTGAAAGCAAATGGTTGGTCTCTGATGGCTTCCATCATGTAATTTCGGAGAGACAGATTAGACTTGGTCTGTGTGGGAGGAAATTGAGCCTATTTGCGTTTAAATGCTGCTGTGAGGTCTAGGTATAAGAACCATGTTTGTTTACCTTTGTGACCAGCCAGTGGGCTGTCATTTCTGTCCCTAAAGACTTCTGAACCGGCTTCTGAAGTCTGAAAAGCACTTCAAATGAGGGAAGGGGAGCAGGGACCCATGTCCCACCTCCCCAGCCATTTCTGTGGGAATTGGGAATTGCTGGGAGCTTCGACTGTGCTGCTGTAATGAGATAAACACATTTCACAAGAGGTGTTCTGCGATGGTGCGCTTGTGCCCTGATCGAATCTGACTTTCTGCATTCAGAAAAATATTCAAACCCTTTTACTTTTTCTCATTCTGTTCCATTACAGCTACTACTTTTAAAAAGATTAAAAAGCCTTTAGTCAGGGAGGTGAACAAAAACCTGAACTCCAGAGGTCCTATTTGGAGATGAGAGAATCTGTCAGAAGAATTGACCAAATCAGCAGCATTACACCAGTGAGGTGGAAGGAAAATGCACAAAGACACATGATGGCTCACTTGAAGTTTGGGCCAAAAGACAACCTAAAGGACTCTCAGGCCAGGACAAAGAAGATCTTATGTTCTTAATAAACTCAATGACAAGCATTACATCTAAAGGAAACCAGGCACTGTTCATCACCTGGCCAATTCCATGCCTACAGTGAAGTACGGTGGTGGCAGCATCATGCTGTGAGGATGTTCTTCAGCAGCAGGTACTGGGAGGAACTTGCTCAGGACCTCAGATTGCAATCAATGTCCTCCTTCCAACATGACAGTGACCCAAAACACACAGCCATGGGATGACTCTGTGAGCATCCTTGAATGATCCAGCCAGAGCCTGGATTTGGAGAGACCTGAGAAAAGTAGGTACAGCGATGCTCCCCATTGAACATGACAGAGCTGGAGACGTTCTGCAGAGAAGAACCGGAGCAGATCCCTAAATCCAGGTGTGGTAAGTTTGTAGCATCAAACCAAAGAAGACTTGAGGCTGTAATCGTTTCAAAAAGGTAAATCGAGTAAAGGGTTGGAAAACTTGTGTTTGTAAATGTACAGATGTTTGTGAAACATTTTACAATTTGGTCTATTGTTCACAGATTTTAGTGTAACATAATAAAATGAGGAAAAAGTACGTAATGCAAACTGTACATTTTTAGGATGAAAAAAAGTCCCTGTCCTTTAGAAGATGTTTCAGAAGTTTGTTTGAAGTCTGAAGATGGATCTCTGAAGCAGCCATGAGCAAAGCAGTTTCATTACTTCAGGATAAATGGAATTTTCATGCAGGTCCCATTTATTTTAGGTTTAGTACTAGACATTGGCCAGGAGTGTGACGGTGTGTCAGGATTTTTAGTTAGGCATTTGGAGCGACACCAGAAGAGAAAGCGATTCACAAATTACTGGTGAGTCTCAGCCCAAATCTTGTCTCCTGCTGTCTATTTGCATTACGACTTCACGCTTACTTCCAGCTGCTTCTGGCTCTCTGGTCTTAAACGTTTGTTCCTTTTGTATCTAAACAACTAGTTTTGACCAATTTTTTCCAACAGAAAGTTCTGTTAAGCTTCTCTACAAAAATGTTCTGGTGCTTAAAGGTGAAGATGAAGGGAGACGAAGAAAAGCAGTTCTTGTAGAGTTGCTTTGCTGTAAAGGTTTAATAACTTTGCAGGTCAAATGCAGTGTTTCATACAACATACAAGGGAAAGAAAACTACTCAAGAAGCTGAAGTATGAAGCATGATCGTCTTCAGTCTTATTAAACATGGTTCAGCTTCAAGGCCTGAAGTCAGCTAAAAAAAGCAACTTTGGCTGGAGCTGTGTCCTTATCTCAATCATGTTGACTTTTCTCGAGGGAATATGAATGAAAGAAAAAGAAAAAGACAGCCAGATAAACACACACACACACACAATTACTCCAGGCAAGATGCAAAGATCAGCAAGTGACAAAGGACAAAAGCATATATTCGTAGCTATTGAATAGTACTAGAGTTCATGTAAATATCAGGCTATAGTTTATGATGTTTTCAATAAAACATAGTTTTATATATAACCAAATATTGTGCCATGCATAAGTATTGACCCCCTTGAACTTTTCCACTGTTCACTACGTTTGTTGTTGTTGTTGTTTGACCTTTTAAACAAGAGCTGACAAAAATCTGCAAAGCGAGTGCACACTCATCAAACGTAGCACTATTTGTCAAGCTAAATTTTGGTCTAATCAGACCAAAGAGTTTTGGGGGGCGTAAATACTAATGCAAAAACAAAATTTATTTTTTGAAAATAATTTTGCAGATTAAATTGATTTTTTCCCCTCCACTTTAATATGATGGAATATTTTGTGTAGATTCATGACCTAAAGTCTATTTCAGTTCACTACAAAATGTGGAAAAGTTCAAGGGGGGTGAATACTTTTGTACAGCATGGTAGTGTAATATTTGCCATACTTTTTAAATTAGTGCCAAAGCCTGTAATTTCGATGTGTTTTGTTTTAAAAGATAAGAAATATTAAAGTTTCCTGTTTGTATTCTGAGATTCAACATCAACACAAATCAAAATCACATGAATAAAAAAGTGAAGCCTAGAGGAGAAAGTGGCATTGTGTAGTGCAGCTGTGTGTGTGTGTGTGTGTGTGTGTGTGTGTGTCGTCACAGATGGAGGAGCGTGGTTTTCATGACCGTGACCCACATGAGTATTCAAAAAGCCAAGTTGACCTTTTAAACAAGAGCTGACAAAAATCTGCAAAGCGAGTGCACGTTCGTCACGCTGGGGAAATGTTCTCTCTGGGGTCTGGAGAGACTGCAGGCTCGGAGTGCACTTCTACACAGATCAATCTCTTTTTTAAGCTTTAAAGAGCCTTTTAACGTGGACCTGAATGATGCAATAAATTTAACAAGAATGTAATTGCTTTCTGGAGAACGAGTTCAGCTTCCTGGATTGGGAACCTTCAATGATGTTCGGGTTAATAGAGATGCACAGCATCATCAGCATACAAATTAATAACGGATAAGAGGCAGATTGGTATGTCCCATTTCCTGTTGAATGGAGCTGAGGGGTTTATGCTACGCTCATGGCATATAGAAGGAAACATAATAGCCCTATTCTGGCTGAAAAAACAGGAAGTTTATTTTACACTGCAGTTTATAATGAATTGGAGCTGATAAAAAATTAGCACTGTTTCAGTTCTGTTAAAGATTATGTTTGGAGACTATGCATACAACGCTTATTTAGTAAGAAAATAAAACACAACAAGGGCATGCAGTTATAGGAAAATGATCAGTGACAGGGTGGTGTGATCAGTGACAGGGTGGTGTGATGAAGTGGAGTTACTGCTACCAGTCTGAAGTTGATTATTTTCCTATAACAGCACATCCCCAAGTGTTTTATTTCTCTTGTACTACAGCAATTTCCCAATAATTACTATATTTTTATTTATTAAATAACAATATGTACCACCTTTGTATCTGTACATTTAAGGCTCCTTGAAATGTTAGTTCCTGTTGTCACTTACATTACAGCAGCTATAAACAGTCGTTCCCTCACCAGCGTCTCTTTTTTCTCTCTCTTGAAGTTAATAAGATGAAATAAACGCAGCTTGTCATGTAACTGAGAAACCTCAAAGAAGCGTAAACTCCTCTGTCCTGAAGATGTTGGAAAAGTTAAAGTTACAGCTTTACCTCTGACTGTTACAAAGCGCTGACACTGGAGACTCCTTCCATAAATGTTAAATTACAGAAAATGATTTTTTAAATCCATTTATGTGGAGCGCAGGCATTACAATTCCCTGTAAATGAGCTGTTACTATAGAAACCATAACGTATTAGAACGAGTGCATTAATATAAACCTGTGATTTGCAGCTACACTACTGTGAGAGCTGCTGTTCTAGAGAATTAATCAACACCTTCTGACCAAACAGAATTCCTCATCACTGTGGTGGAAATGGAAAAAAATGTTTTCTCCAAGTGAAGCTCTCGATGTTGTGCTAATTTAAGATTTCACTTTCACACGACTGTATTTATGTGTTTTTAAGACTGGCACTACGTTACTGATGTCTTAGCTGTGGTTAAAAGCGTAACTTTAATTAGCAGCTTTCTTCAAAGTGCTGCTTCAAGGCCTCCAGCATCCAAAGACACCTTCTCTTGGAGGAATAAAGAAAGAGGAATTAAGTATGAGTTATTTAAAAAAAAAAAGAAAAGAAAAGAAAAAGCCTCCATGCCATGGACCTGCTGGTTCACCATGTACACCTCTGGGAGATGTGGAGGTGCTTCGGTGTGTGTTGGCTTTCCAGCGACTCTTGCCCTCGGAGGAAGTCTAATGATAAATCTCATTACAAATGAATTGAAACCAATCTTTTTGTAAAACATTTGCTTCCTCGAGCACTGATCTGTCAATAAATCAATTTAGAAACCAATTCAGCTAGCTTCCTGTAACCAGATAACGCCGTCTCTGCATCTTAAACAGATGCTGCTGGTCTTGTTGGGTTTGTATTATTTACACATATATGCATATTTATGAAAGGTGCAGGGGTTCTGAGATTATGAGACTCTTAATCTCAGGATTGTGAGTTTGAGCTCCAAGTTGGGCGCCAAACCCAGCCACTGGGGTCGCACGAGCTCGTGCACTCTCAGTGCCAGTCCCAAGCCCAGATGAAATGGGAAGGTTGCGTCAGGAAGGGTGTCCGGCGTAAAACCTGTTCCAAATCAAATATGTGGCTCATAAACTGGATTTCCATAATAGAGCTGGA